CTGTAACATGGTTACAGAAAAATTAACCTGTAAATTGGGGGGGGAGACCCAAAATAGGAAAGCACTGAGCTGCTCTTCACCTCATGGGGTTGAAGTCAAATGTGGAAGACAATTTGGGGTGCTGTCAACTCTTATGCCTTAACAGTCTAACTTGTCCAAGTACATTAACATATTCAGCAGGAAGGGATTTTTTTTCCAAGGTTTCTCGCTTAGTAATGTTAAAACAAAAAAAGGCCATTCCTTATCTCCCAGAAACACCCACAGACCAAGTGAATCTATCAGTCTCTGCCACTCTGTGCTCTGTTAGTGACTTTTCCCCACTCCTTTTGAGAACTGCAAAAGCCAAGTGTTTTTCAGTTAAAGAAGTCAAGAGGGATCAACTTCTCACCACCAAGTCTTACAAAGTGTCTACAAGTCAAAGAGTGACCTCAATCTGAAGTTATTTGAAGGGTTCAATACTCCACAGCCTCTCTGGTCAGTTAATGAGTAAAACTTCAAAAGCTGTAACCACATCACACACCAGTGACTCTTGCCAGAGGGCTACTACCCTCTGGATTAATGAGGCAGTAAAGTGACCACAATATTTGAGAGATTATGGGCAATTTACAGAAAAATTAGATGAAATCTGGCTGGCTGTTATTAGCATTCCAGTTAAAATTCAGAGTCTTCCTGTTCCACATCTACTGATGAAAAACCAAGCACGAAACATTTCTAACCAGTGTGATTCAGAAGAAATGAGTTAACGACCACAACCAGGCTCTTCCTCAAAGTGGGGAGCAGGTTCTCATTTTGGCACATGCCTCTGCCTCAGGTGCTCCCTTGCTTCCCTCAATAGCAGACAAGTAGGGCAAGAGGAGCAGTTCGTGTATGTACAAGAAATCACAATAAAGACAGCAGAGAACTGGATGAGCTGAGACAGTAAAATCACCTCTACTGTCCCAATAAATTGTCCCAGTTACTGCAAAGGTTGCAAGGGGATAATTTCCAGACAGGCCAGAGGTCACTGTCAAGCAGGCCCTGGCTTCTGCCTGAGATTCTTCTATGACAGAATCTACAAGAGACAACTGGATGCTCAAGGGCGTCTGGTAGTCAGTCAGCAGGAGACAGTGGTTCCATACAATACGTGAAGTATTCCCAAAAAGTTACGAGAAGCACTTTTCCCTGCAGATCCCTGTAGAAATACACCACAACGTGTTGGACATACTTATTGTCCACGTCCATTATTTCTGGTTTTGTTTTGAGAGGGTTTTTTGGGGGAGGAGGATGGGACAGATTTTGCGTGAGTCTCTGCAGGATTCCTGTACTTAACATCCCCCTTTCACCAGGCAAACATATCCACACCACAAAGAGTGGGGATATCTGCTATCTGACATCTGAAACCAAACACTGCCCCACGACCAAATACAGAGAAGCACTGCCCTAAAATACACACACTTCAAAGACCACAGAGGCAGCCCTTTTAAATTGCAACGAGAACTCTGATATCTTAATAGCAGCAAATTAATTGGGGGGAAAAAAAAAGCTGCTACATTAAAAAAAGTAAAACAGAAAGTGAAAGAGTAAAGAAAAAACAAACAATCCCTCTTTTATGTCATACAGTTCTAAGGCGTTGCCCCAACCTACTTTGAAGAATCATATCTACCTGAGATACTGAAACAAAAATCCAGGGGCAGGCAGCAGCAACTGGCCCTGGTTCCCCCACAGGTACAAAATAAAAACCTTCCTGCATTTTCTACCAGAAAAACCTTTCCTGAAATAGCTCAGCCCAACCTCCTGGAAAGCCTCAGCCGCGTCAGGTGACACAATGAGTTTTGTTGACAAGCTCCCCCTCTCTTGCTCCACCCTCTCCATCCTCTGGGGGCTCGGAGGCTCCCAGAACAGCTCCTCTGTGGTGCGTGGAACAGCACAACCCGAGTGCAAAAAGGCCGCACTGGGCTCGGGCAGCTCTGGGGATGTGATGGTGCATTCACCAGGCGTGACTGAGCAGGAAGAACGGCCTGCTCAGCTCCTCCAGACACAACCGAGAGCCACTCTTTCTATTTATAAACCTCGGCACACACGGGAGGGATTGTGCAAGGGCAGGTTTACACAGGGCACATGACTGGTGCGCTATCAAAGCGCCGCTGCGTTGTGACGGCTGGGAGGTGCCTCAGACCCCGTTATTCCTCCAACAAACAGGGCCTTCATTTTTATATAATCACAGAATCGTTTAGGTTGGAAAAGCCCTCCAAGATTGAGTCCCCACTGTGACTGATCCCCACCTTGTCACCCAGCCCAGAGCACTGAGTGACACATCCAGTCATTCCTTGGGACACCTCCAGGAATGGGGACTCCACCACCTCCCTGAGCAGCCCCTGCCAAGGCCTGAACACCCCTTCCAGCAAGAAATTCTTCCCGATATCCAACCTGACCCTTCCCTGGCACAGCTTGAGGCTGTTTCCCCTAGCCCTGTCCCTTGTTCCCTGGGAGCAGAGCCCAACCCCCTCCCGGCTCCCCCCTCCTGTCAGGGAGTTGCAGAGCCAGAAGGTCCCCCCTGAGCCTCCTCTTCTCCAGGCTGAGCCCCCCCAGCTCCCTCAGCTGCTCCTGGTGCTCCGTTCCCTTCCCCAGCTCCGTTCCCTTCCCTGGACACGCTCCAGCCCCTCCATGTCTCACTGGGGTGAGGATGCAGAACTGGACACAGCCCTCGAGGTCCCTCAGCGATGACAGCACAAGGACGGGCACTGCCCTGGGCCTGCACCCACACCATGGCTGAGACAAGACACCTTCCACTCTTTTTTTAATTTAACCTACAGCAATGGGCTGCACCAGCCTGGCATTTATTGTTAGGAACCACACTCATAACCAGAACGAGCCTGCAAACCACAGAACACAGTCCCATTATCTGCTTTATCCACATCCTCCAGAAAATTCAAGCCAGGCTAACTTAGCCTTCAAATTTCCTGTCACCAGATGTTCTGACCAGCGTTTGCTGGAGGAATTATATACTAACTTGAATCTTCCCTCCTTCCAAGGTTTAAGTCTACTATTTTGGGAAGGGGTATAAAATAATCACATCCTCAAAGTTTGTACTTTCCACTCCCAGCTTAACTTTCATTTTAGAAAGAAGGGGGGGGGGAATCAGAAACTGACTGCTGTTTTAACAGCACGCCCAGCCTCCCTCCTTTCCTGGCCTCAAAGACAAGCAACAATCAGAGTGTGCATCAGTGGTCCAGAGATGCCAGGACCTGTCCACCCTGCTTTAATTCCTTTGTGCATCCCTTAAAGGGAAGATGCACAGAAGCCCTGTAAGTAGGTCAACCAAAAACCCTCATGGCCTGTAAGCCAGCCAAGTGACTCCATTAAGATACGCCAAGGGTGGCTAAATTTTTACACAGATAATTAACGAGCTTAGGTAAAACAGTGTTTCAGGTTGTCACAGCAAAATCTTCAGAAAAATCTGCATGATAAGAGAGTCAATTAGTATTCGTCACAGAACCTTGGTGGAGAAAAGATAGGTGTTTATTTGTGTTAAAACAGGGACTTCCTAAAGAAAAACAGGCCCGACAAGTCTCCTGCCACACTCAGTTGCATACCATGCCTTTAACAGGTAGGCCAAGTGAAGTCTTGTTGCTGAACTGGTTTCTCATTACAATTTCCCTAAATACACTAGTGGGAAAGCTGGTGGATACTTCAAGGTGAATCCTTTTCACTTTTAAAGCACAAGAAGCTGCAATGATTTTAGCGATTTGGAAACGGTCCCAGCAGGAGTGGTAAGTGATGGCAGCTAACTCAGTGCAAAGCAGACTCAAAAGACACTATTAACGCAGATAAATATGCAGAGTGAAAGCTGATATTTGCTTTCTTGCTTCCAGCCTGAAAAGTCTGAGGTTCTCCATTACACTGTCATATCGGCATATTAAATATTATCAGTCTATCTAGGGGAAGGTGTCCCTGTACATGGCAGGGGGGTTGGAAATAGATGACCTTTAAGGTTCCTTCCAACCCAGGCCGTTCTATGACATTAAAACTACAATAAAGCACAAGACTAATGTATAATCATGAAAGATTTCATAGGCATAATCTGCTGTCCTCTGCCAGTTGGTTATTCCTGTGGCCTTTAAACAGCCGGTCAGGCTTTTTTTTTTTTTAGTTGACTTGTGAAATGCTGCAGGTTAAACTTGTAAGTAAATAAGCTCTAGGATTACAGTAGTCCCAATTAGAAGAAAATTCTCCGAGTAATTGTGCACATCACTGTACAAGTCCCTCGATTTGGGGGGTTCTAGCTATTCCATGCCACAACCCAAAGGTGTATCACCACTCCTGTCAGACTACACATCGCTTCTGTCAAGCCTCTGCGATGCACGAAACACAAGGACTGCTTGTTCTAACCTCCAGTCCTAGTGCTAAAAGGAGAATATCAGCTATCACCCCCCAGCACTTCCACTGCTGCAACAACAGGTAACGAGACAGCGAGCAGCAAAATTAGTGGAATTTTCCATCTGGAGTAATGAAAACACACTACAGCAAAGGCTACCTCTCGCCATCTGCAAGAGGATTAGCAGCCATCTCTCCCTGAAATGACGAAGATAAACAGCGCTGCTGGCAGAAAAAGCAGTCCCCACCGACACGGTGCCTGAGACGCCCGATCCGTGTCGGATGTGGACGCGCAGGATCAGGAAGTCATTTCCACACCAGCACCGGGAAAGGCCGGTTCCTCACCGGGACCACCCCCGACCCCCCTTCTCCCTGGCGCTATTTTTGGGCGATTCCCCCGCCGCCGCCCCAAACACGGCCCTTCCACCACAACCACCCCGAAGGCACCCTCGAAACCACCCCATCGCCGCCGCCGCCTCCTCTCTTTGGGATCCGGTCCTGCCGTGGGAACACAAACAGCGTTAGGACCGGCCTCCCTCCCTCCACCACCACCACTCCACTCCCCCATCCCGGGCACGCCGGGAGCTGAGGGCAGCTCTCCCCGGGCGCGGCGGGGAAGGGGCCGGGGAGGTGGAGGCAGGGCTCACCGGCAGCGAGGAGCCCGAGGAGGCTGAGGAGCAGCAGCCGCGCCATGATCCCGTTCCGTGCCCGTCTGCAATGCGGCGCCGCCGGCACCGCCCGCCACCGCCCTTATATAGAGCCGGGGGGCGCACGCGCGCACGGCGCCCCGCCCCCCGCGCAATGGCGGAGGGGGGGGGGGGGCGTGAGGGGCGCGAAATGGCGGCCGGGAGGGGCTGAGGGGAGCGCTGGAGCCGCGCCTCCCCGGAGTCCCCGCCGCCTGAAACGGCGCTGTCTGCAAATAAAAAAGCCCTCACAGCCGAAAAAAAGACGCCTTTTGCCTCCACGGGCAGTAGAGCCCCCAGAGGGGGCTCGCGGGGTCTGATGGAGGCGCACACCAACATGGAATGAGAGTGTTAAAGGGTTGAAATGGACCTGAAAGGTCATCTCACTCCAGCCCCCCTGCCATGGGCAGGGATGCCTCCCACTAGACCAGGTGGCTCAAGGCATTATCCATCCTGGCTTTGAACACTGTCGGGGTTGGAGCATCCACAAGCCCCCTGGGCAACCTGTGCCAGTGTCTTAACTGTGCTCACAGCAAAGAATTTCTTCCCAATACCCACCCTAAATTTATCCTCTTTCAATTTGTAGCAATTACTCTGTGTCCTATCACTACAGTTCCTAATGCAGTCTCTCTCTCTCTGGCTTCCCGGTGGCCCTCTTCAGGTACCAGTCAAATTCTCTACACGACCAAACATCACACCTGACATCGTTTGACATGCTCCAGCAGCGCTTTCCACTCACAAGCTTCCTACCTCACTACTTGCAGTTAGGAGGCAAGGGGGGGGTGCTGATTTTTCCTTGCTGTGCAGAGAAGAATCCAGCTCCCCATTGTCACAGGGCAGGTAGGTATCCCTGTGGTCCAAATGAACAGCAATTAAGAACGACAGCCTGAAATGGCTTGCTATCTCCCTTGCACTGATTCAGCAACTGGAACAACAAACTAACCCAGGAAAAAAAAGATAATGCAGCGTTTTCCTGACTGGATCAACAAACCAAACCAGCTCAGCTAAAGGCCTGAGCTGGTCCCTCATGGGTTCTCCAGGACTGTGCAGAGCTGCCAGACCAGCTCTCCTCTTCTAAACCCACATTTAAGGCTTGCTGTAGCTGGAGGAAGGGTCCTTGATAATGCTTCTCACAGCCTGGAGAGCTCCACTTGGGTATCCCCTGCAGCATCACCACAACACACACAGGCTCATCACATCTAAAGTGCTTGCCATCTGCCAGACTTATCTTGCCCATTTCGTGGGGATCTCCAAGGTATTGTCCTTCATTTAAGGGCAGACATGGTATTACCTTGTTAGGTCCCTACCTGTGTGTTCATTTTCCAAGGACTAAACTTCTTGATAACATTTAAGGTTTATTTGCAGTGTAAAGGTTATGAGGAAATGGATCTGTTCTGTTTCACTTTGCCAGGCTATAGGGTAATGCACATTTCTCATTTTCTTATAAAGAACTTTTAAAATTCAAACTAAGAAGCCCCTGTTATCATGCTCTTCTTCGCAAACCACAGCAGGAGAGCTTGATGCTTACATAGGGCCTTTGCAGATCAGCACAGCTTCATTTGGAGCCTCCAGAGCCTCGGCTATCACCACCATCTGGAGCCAGGTTCTTAGGTAATTCCCAAACTGGAGCCAGGTGCACTCACACTGAATCAACGAGGCAGAAAGCCTCCACCAGCAGCAACTTTGGCCAGACTAAACAAGCAACCTTTACTCTGGTGGTAAATGCACTTTGCCTGGGCAGGGCTCAGCATGCTGCTCTTATCTCAGGAGTGCACATAAAGTGTTGACGAAGCACCCTGGCTTTCTAACTAGTAGTCAGCCACACACACAAAAAAAGAGCTTTGTGAAGAATATATAAAAGAGAGGTTAAGTAAGACTGTCTGGAACAGGACAGCTCTTTCAGCAGGCAGGGTGTTTTACATCTGGGAACTGAAGGACAGGAGTAAGGAAGGACTACCTTCGAGCTAGCCGGTGCTACCTCCAATCTGTTATCATTTCAGGCTAGCCCAGGTTTTCCTGGACCTTCACTAATTCCCATTGATTTGAGGCCTTCTTTTTCCTCTCAAGTACACAGCATGTAATATTTGACAATGACAAATTGTCACCATGACATAGCTTCCCTGGTTTAGCCACACCACCTCCTAGTTTTCCCACTTAAAAATGGGATTAAAAAAAATAAAACAGCATTAAGAGTTCAAGCACAGGCTGCCTGCCATGGACAACAGGACTGTTTGGAAGAGTGCGAAACTCCAAAGGGTATCCTCAGCCTATTGAGATCAGGTTCAGCTCACAGACATGAGCTGAGACCTTGCATTGAGGGTGTGAACTGCAGTGGCCTGCTGTCTGCCTACCACTTCTTGCTTTTGGTGGGTTTCTGCTCAGACTTGGGGTTTTTCCTGAAGATAAACCTCCCAGATAAGGTGTCAGATGAGGATTCTCAGGCATGGCTTGTCAGTAGTGATGTACAGCTGAATCACTTGGCCGTGGCTGGGAGAGAAGGGGGCCTTCATAGCCTAAACTTGATTTTTAGCCCTATTTTCTGGGAGAAGCATGCTCTGCATAGAGAAACTCAGTAGGAAGAGCCTGGAAAGCTGCAGCCAAGCGAGGGACTTTCCTGCAGCAAAATGCATGACTCATTTTCCAGGGGCTGGCGTCCAGGACCGCTGCCTCCCCTACCAACCAGTTGGACCGGGCTGGCCCCAGAGCCCAGCTGGCTCCAGAAAGCCGGGTTTGGTGCTCAGTTTTGTCATGCCTACAGCACACAAATTCCTTCCACGTCACCTCGTCCTCCTGGCACTCAATTCTGTGCTTTGCATAAGTGGGGCACGTGAGGAATCTCTGTTTGGCAATCCCTGGAGGCCAGCCAGAGGCCCCTGCAGGCTCTGGTTTTGCAGCCACAGCCAGCTCTGCAGGAGAAGTGCTCTTATTGCAAAAGAAAAAAAAACAAAAACAAAAAAACAAGTGAAATAAATAAAAAGAGGCATTTTCCACAGCAGCTTGGCTTTCAGGCTATTTTGCATTTCCACTCAGACTGCAGCAAAGCCAGCCGCAAATTACAGCCTGGCAGCCTCGTGAAGAGCCACATGTTTGAAGTTTATTCCAGCCCAAGCAACAGCAGCCTCCCTGTGATTCAGCAAATGATTTTGCTTGCAGGTCCCACTGGAGTAGAAACAGACACCCCACCACACACCCCCTTCCTCACCATAACAGGCTGCAGGGAAAAAGCTCCTGCTCTGACATACTTCCCAAAGCAGAAAGCAGCAGAGCGTTTTCCAGACAGGAAGGCAATGCTGCACAAACTGCATCCAAGGGCAGAGCTGCAGCTTGGTAACACTGATAGTGGACAGAGCAGGTGGGACATGTCCCCCGCCTCCTGGCACACAGCAAGAGAACCCTGACCCATAGAAGCAGATGATTCTTGACTGGATTAGGGTCAGGGTGTAAAGAGCACATGATGAGCCAGTCAGGCTGTGGGAGTGAGAGCACAGCAGCTTCAAACTGACAGAGAGCAGGTTTAGATGTGATATTGGGAAGAAATTCTTCCCTGTGAGGGTGGGGAGGCCCTGGTACAAGTTGCCCAGAGAAACTGTGGCTGCCCCATCCCTGGAAGTGTCCAAGGCCAGGTTGGACAGGGCTTGGAGCAACCTGGGCTAGTGGAAGGTGTCCCAGCCCATAGCAGGGACTGGAGCAACATGATCCTAAAGGTCCCTTCCAATTCAAACCATCTTGTGGTTCTATGATCCTGCACTTGTCCAGCCTCTCAGCCCCTCACATCAGCACAAACAGCCCCACACTGCCCAGCCCAGCGACTGATCTGGCTTTAGGAATGATCCATTCCTCTCCCAGGGCAGTTTTCCGCCTGGATCCAGCTCTCTGTCTGAATGCTTATGGCAGCATGGGGTGAAAGCACTGAGGACCTTCCCCTTTTGGCAGCCCCTCTACAGCAAGCTCTCAATTAACACTGGCATGGTCACAGGCCACCCTCCTTCCCACGTTAGGCTCAGCAACAACTCAATTATCCAAAGGGGTCACATCAAGTGCACTGGATTTTCCAAGCAAAGCATAACATAAAGCCTCCAATCACTGCAGCTAATTCTCATTTCAGTATTTCCTTTGTCAGCTGTCACAAGTTTTACATTTTAGTTACAAGCTGCATTTTGTTTCAAGGTTTCCTCAGCATTTACTGGGATTAGAGTCCTATGCCAAGGCAAACCATATTCCAAGGCAACTGTTACTTCAAACCAAGTAGATCAACATAAGGAGAGTCAGCAGCCATAAATGCTTTGCCCTTGTGAACCAAGATTTCTGACCAGTGCTTGCAAGACTTAAACAACAGAAAAGCAGATGATTTCTCTAAGTAGAGGGGAATCAACAGTGCAGCACCACCTCATCCGTGCTTTAATGGATATGCACAAAGATGCACAATCCCATTCCTGCTCCCATTGTGTCATCTTTTCAGGGTTGTAAGCAATAAGAAAGCAGTCAGACAAACCTCTGCAACACTCTTTGGAGAAGAAGCTGCTTTGTATTTATCAATAGAGAGTAATGTTTTCCTGTAAATCTTACTTTATCCTAACCCCACCCCCCAAAAAAAATAATTTAGAAATATACATCTAGGTTATCCAGGAAGAAAATAAAGGAAATTTAATAACAGATTTTAAAATATACTTCAGAAAAAAAAAAATTAAAATAGACTCGGACCAAGAAAAGAGGATTTTAGGACACTTTTGGTTCCCATTCATGCTGCAGCAGAGAAGCATCTCCCCAGCTGCCCCTAGGAGCCAGTACCTCTTTTGGTTCCTGACTTGTACATAAACATCCAAAGCAGATGATTTGGGCTCCTTACTGGGAGCTGAGATTCTCTCCAATAGGAGGAGCAGGCTTGATGCTTCTTGGAATTTCTGCAGTAAATAATGGAGCAGACAGAAGAGTGCCCTGAGCTATTCCTGCTCTCCCTCTCTCAGTCACATTGTGCCATTGCATTGAAGCTCACCACCATTTCCTAGAGCAGCCAGGTCTTTGCAGCTCATCTATCCCCCAGAAGAGACACTTTCCAGAA